ATGTTGAATATTATAATAAATTTGGGAAGGCTGCCCTTCTCAAACTTATTATAATATTCAACATAAAAGAATGAAACCAAAGTAGCCTCTTGGGTGCTTTCTTCCACTCCTCAGCACAGTTCTCCATGATAAGCACAGCATCTTCTGATAGACACTTTGAGTGGTCTCCACTCTTCCCTTCTAGTCAGTTCCTGGCCTCATGATTCTTATCGGCCAACCCTTAATAGAAGCTGGAGTTGCCTTTCCTTGAGGCTCTTCTCACTTGTCGTGACTCCTGTTAGACCCAGCTTCAACCCTTCTGGGCTATTCATTCTCTGGCTGCCCCCAGCCCACCAACCGCAGTCTACTCTGAGATATTCACTACTTCACAAGACTCCTTTCCCATGGCTGACAGGGCCAAACTTGCTGCACTTTCCCTTCAGCATTCAAAGCCAGACTGCTGTCTATAGCCCAGGAGCCAGGCCTAGACCAGGCACAGGAGTTATTCACTATCCTCAGCACCCAGCTAAGCTCTGCCACCCCCAGCATGTGACCTGCAGCTTGGAGCCCTGCCCCTGCAGCCTAGCTCTTTTTCCAGCTTGCTCCAGGTAAGTGGTTTGCCACTTACTACAACCTGCAAGCTACTGCTTTTCACTCCCCTGGGTTGCCTCCTTCACAGCTAGCTCCAGTCGGCTGCCTACACCTGTGTGCAGAAATCCAGTACTCCTCTTTCTCTTTCAAAGTAACAGGGGTTGGGGTCACTGTTAGTTTGTCATTAGCATTGGTTTTCAGTCCATAGTTTCTGCCTCCCTCTTGGAAATTTCACTGAAACTTTAAGGAGAATTTTTCATTTGTCCTTCTGAGTGTGTTCCCGCCACATGGAATTCACTTTTCAAGCCCTCATATTCCACAAGTTTTTTTAGGGCAGTGCAAATTCAGCCCAAATCAGAGACAATGATTTGATCCCTTTGATTTGGCCAAATCTGAAGATTCAATGATGATTTGGCAAATCAGCGATTCAGACACAGGCACAGCTTTAAAAGTTTTTTTCTACATACCTTGAGGTAGGAGGCGTGGCTCATGATTGCTGTCTCACAAGAGCACGGGGAGCTCTCCAGTGTGCTTGGCAGCAAACCTGGAAGTAGACTTCCGATCCACTTCCAGGTCTGCCAGGGAGCGTGCTGAAGGACCCCTCGTGCTCACCCGGCTCAGTGATCAGCCGTGGGGGGATCCCAGGTGCCCCCTCAGACCCAGGAGGCACCAGTCACTGAGCTGGGAGGGCGCAGGGAAGGCCCCTCTGCACGCTCCCTGGCGGATCTGGAAGTGGGCTGGAAGTGCTTCTGATCCACTTCCGGGTCTGCTGCCAGGAGCACTGGGGAGCTCCTTGCGCTTCTGTGGGATACTCCATGCACCCCAGCGTTCAGAGCCCCTGCTACCCAGAGGTATGTATCTACGTCCAAATTGCCAAATCTCTCTGAATCAATTTGGAGGGTTCCAATTTGATTCAGAGAGTTTAAAAGGTCCTCTGATTTGATTCGGATTTGGAGATTTGGCCACCGAATTGGGTAAAATCTCCACCGAATTGAAACAGGGACCGAAGTCCCTTGCTGTCTCTTCTTAGGCACCTCCTGTTGTCAAGTTTTGTTTTACACACTTTTCCCATATCTTCTTGGATCTTCTTGTCTCTCTCCTTCCCCCCAACTTTCATGGCCTGAACTTTCTTTTCCCATTAAACATCTAAACATTGTATGTTTGTGTGAACAAAATGGAAATTTGTAAACTTTTGTTTTTGTGGGATTTTATATATGTGGTGACATTCTCTAAAGCATGCAGAACTATTGTGATTTTTCTTTTATTAAATTCCTATATTTTTCTTCAAGAAACAAGGTCTTAGTAGAAAATGTTTGACCAACTTCACTAGGCACTGTATTTATGCACTGCCTGACTTTGAGTTAAGCAACAATGCCCTCTTGTGGTGTATTTGTGTTAACAACTTCCTAAGTAATCTTGAATTAAAAAAAAGGAAAATCATGAAAAGGGAGTTTCATTTTTCAGGACATAAAATTCTGCAAATAAAAACCTTGATAAAAGCCTATGTAAATTCTGTTAGGCACTTCAATGCAAAATAATTGAAATTTGTTCAAATCCAGGTTCATGTTCACCATGATACCAAAAAAATGCCTATATACATTAATGGCCACTCCCACAGGATTTTTAACACACCACTCCTAAGTATAGTTATTCTGGATGAGAACATGGCAGGTGTTTTGTGGGGAGCAGGGCTGGGGGGGGCAGCATGGGAAAGGAAGGATTCTTTTTTAACTAATAGGGAAACTATTTTTTTTCAGCAAGACACTATTCTAGTATGACTGAGCTGGTGAATCAGATGTCAGGCAGGTTGTAATGTGTCATAAACCCAATGTCTATACTGAGTCCATGATTTTTTGAATCCAGTAGATTCACCAGGTACCTGCCTGACAGCCTCTTTTCTACCTTGTACTCTTTTACCGCACTATCTCCATTCAGCCTTTTTTCCCTGCTCTCTTCCCCCTTCCCCCTCTGCTTCATCTCTCTGCCTCACCTTTTGTCTAATTGTACCTATTTACATTTTCACTGACATCCTGCCACACTTTTATCTTCTTTCATTTCTTGGAGTCTCAGAACATCAAAGACTCTCAATGCCTGAAGAAGGGTGACTGCACCTGAAAGCTTGCCAAGAAATGTTTTTCCAACTACTCAGGTGATCTAATAAAAGATATCACATCTGTTCAAAGAACCTTGCCTGACTTAGTGAAGAGACACTTGGAGGGGCTAGATGTGTTTAAGTCAGCAGGCCCAGATGACCTTCATTCATCCAGAGGTGCTGAAGAAATTGGCCAGTGTCATAGCAGAGTCACTGGCATGGCTGTTTGAGGATTCTTGGTGCTCAGGTTAGGTCCCAGAGGACTGGAACAGGGCCATTGTGATCCCTATTTTCAAGAAGGGGAGGAAGGAGGATCCAAGTAACTATAGATGAGTTTGACTCACCTCTATCCTCAGGAAAACCTTTAAAAAAATTATTAAGGATTGCATTTGTGGGAGTCCAGCGGGGAAAGCAATGCTAAAGGGCAACCAGCATGGGTTCATAGCAGGTAGATCCTGCCTGACTAACCTTGTTTCTTTTTAGGACCAGGTCACAAAATGCTTCGACTTAGGAATCGAGCTGGTTGTCATCTACTTGGATTTTAAGAAGGCCTTTGATACGGTATCTCATTCTATTCTCACAGATAAATTGAGCGGCTGTAACGTAGATGATTACACGGTCAGGTGAGTGGCAAATTGGCTTAAGGGTCACACCCAGAGAGTGGTGGTGGATGGGAAGGGATCAATTTTGAAAGATGTGGGCAGTGGAGTCCCACAAGGCTCAGTCCTTGGACTGGTGCTGTTCAATGTCTTCATCAGTGACTTGGATGGGGGTGTGGAAAGCACTCCGCCCAAGTTCGCAGATGATTCCAAATTATGAGGTAAAATTAACATACCAGGGGGTAGGAAACGAATCCAGGAAGATCTGGACAGGTTGGAAAAATGGATGGAACAGAATAGGATGCAGTTCAATAAGGACAATACAAGGTGCTGCACCTAGGGAGAAGGAATCGCTAGCATGCTTACATGCTGGGGGAGGACCTTCTCAGCAGCACAGCAATGGAAAGGGATCTCAGAGTCACTGTTGACTCCAAGATGAACATGAATTGTCAACGTGACAAAGCAATCAGTAAAGCTAACCGCACTATATCATGCGTTAGCAGGTGCATGACAAACAGGTCCAGGGAGGTGATACTTCCCATCTATGTGGCTTTGGTCAGGCCACAGTTGGAGTACTGCATCCAGTTTTCGGTGCCACGCTTCAAGAGGGATGTGGGCAACCTCAAGAGGGTTCAGAGGAGGGCCACTCAAATGGTTAGGGGCCTGCAGGCAAAGCCCTATGAAATGAGATTGAGAGCCCTGGATCTCTTTAACCTTTGCAAGAGAAGGCTGAGAAGTGATCCTGTGGCCGCCTACAAATTCATTGAGTGGGGCCAGCAAGGAATAGGAGATGCTCTGTTTACCAGGACACCCACTGGAGTAACTAGGAACAATGGCCACAAACTGACAGAGAGCAAATTTAGGTTAGACATCAGGAAGAATTTCTTTATGGTAAGGGTTGCCAAAATCTGGAATGGGCTTCCAAGGGAGGTAGTATTCTCCTGTACCTTGGGGGTCTTTAAGAGGAGGCTATACGTGAACCTGGCTGGGGTTGTCTGACCCCAGCACTCTTTTCTGCCCAGGGCAGGGGGCAGACTTGATGATCTGCTCAGGTCCCTTCCGACCCAAACATCTAGGAATCTATCAAATCTAACAACTACCAATGGCTGGAAGTTAATGCCAGAAAAAATAAGAAAAATATAATGAACAGTGAGAATGATTAACCTGTAGAACAAACAAGGTAGTTGACTAACTGCTCAGAGTTTAGAAAAAGAGCAACAAACCTGATAGTGGGCCTAGAGATACAGACTGAAACCCAGATCAGACTTGACTAAATAAGGTCTGTGACCATTTTTAAATGATTGTGGAGAAATTTTGGCACAATGCCCACTGGATTGAATGGGCCCAGGATTTCATACTCACTGGCTGGAACGTTCTAAGGTAGTGAGCTCCATGTGGTTTCTGGGACCTGGATCCTTCTGATGGTCAAGTCATAGAGGACATGACTGGTGAACCCATGACCTGTTCAAATGAGTCAAAATATCCCTGACTGGGTTAGAAATCTAACTCTCCTGTGCTGGGTCCCAAGTCTACTCAGCTAGACTGTACTTAGCTTCCCTGATGCTTATTGCACACTGCTATTAGTGCCAGTGGTGTACTGCTGCAACCTTTCGTCACTGAGAACTTTGTACAGGCTGAACTCCTCTCCTTGTTCCATGCGGGGGGAAATAATATCACTATTATAACTGCTGGCATGGCTACTTTATTAACATACTTCTGCCTCACCTTGCCAGCAGATAATGCCTATGGAGCCCACAGCGGTAGGAAGCAATCAGACCTTGGTGACAGAGTTTGTCCTAGTGAGCTTCACAAAAGACCCACAATTGCGAGCTGCCCTCTTTGTGATCTTCCTCTGCACCTACACTCTGACACTGATGGGCAACCTGGGCCTCATGGTCTTAATCTTCCTGAATTCATGCCTGCACACTCCCATGTACTTCTTTGTTGGCAACCTGTCTTTCTTGGACACATGGTACTCCTCAGTCTATATGCCCCGAATCCTGGTAGACTGCATCTCCAAGAGCAACGTCATCTCCTATGCTGGCTGTGCTGCCCAGTTCTTCTTCTCTGCAGGTCTGGCCCATACTGAGTGCTTTCTGCTGGCAGCCATGGCCTATGACCGCTATGTGGCCATCTGCAACCCACTACTCTACTCCTCTGTAATGACCAGGAAGCTCTGCAGCCAGCTGGTGGCTGGCTCCTATGTGGCTGGCTTTATCAACACTATTGTGCACACAGGTAACACTTTCCGCCTGCATTTCTGTGGGGACAACACTATTGATCACTTCTTCTGTGATGTACCACCACTGATGAAGATGGCCTGTGATAATACCCAGGTCTATGAGTTCATACTAACTGCTGCAGTTGGTTTTAGTGTGGTGGCCACCACTGCCCTTATTCTGGGTTCCTACACAGGCATTGTGGCAGCCATCTTGCGCATACGCTCAGCCACTGGCCGACACAAGACCTTCTCCACCTGCTCTGCACATCTCATCTCAGTCCTCCTTTATTATGGCTCCCTCCTCTTCATGTACTTGCAGCCCAGGTCCCTGCACACCCCAGATAGGGACAAGGTGACTGCTGTGTTCTGTACAGTGGTCAACCCTTTGGTCAACCCCCTCATCTACAGCTTGCGCAATAAAGATGTGAAAGAGGCATTCAGGACAACCCTCAGGAGAATCCTAGCACCCAAGTGATCAGCAGTGCCAGAAGGCCTGGCTACACAGGAAAGAGAAGCAAGACTACACTATGCTACACTTCTAACTGTAGTGTTTGCCATCTAGTGTTATTCAGTAGGACCCAAACACCTCAAAACAGTTTAGAGCTGCACACACAGAGTAAGAGCTTTGTTTCCCCAATGAAATTTCAAACTAAATAAATACGATATATTAGGTATTACTCTTTCCATTTTGCACATGTTTATACAGCCTATCTGCATGAGGAAATGAGGCTGACATTCACCAGGATGGCTCCCACCATAAAATGTTGTCAATGAAACTGAAGAGGTGCTCAAAGCCAAAACAGCTGCCACTTTCTGGCACTGGAAATGTAGAAAGCACACACCACTGGAAAAGAGGCAGAAGCCCTGTGAATATGCTTAGGCACAATGAGGAATGCAGGATGTCAGTATAGAGGATACAGCATGTTGGGGAGGGCAGGAAAGAGACTGATTGGTGACAGGAGAGAGAAATGAGATGAGAGATGAAGGGGATGGACCCTTGGAACTCCTGCTATGTAGTCCCTACACTGGGGGGAGGGGAGATCCCCTCTGACCAACTGATGAAAAGCATAAGTATTTTAAATCTAGACCGGGCACTTAAAAGCTCTCACAGAGCTTGGAGATAGGCATCTCCCCCCTTAGAACAAATAAGACACTACCCAAATATATATTTTTTGGAAAAACTTTGTGATTTTGAAGGAGCCAACTATAGTCAGTATTGTGCATATGGGTTGGCAAAGCTGTGCTCTCACAAGGCTCCCCTCTATATCCTGGTCCTGAGGTAATGGTTCCCTAACATTTCCTGCTTTAAGAAATGTTGATCTCCCTCAGCACAACAACCAGTTCCAAGCCACACCGTATAGACCCTGTTTTTGTACACCCAGCATGTACACACAGTCTCCCCTTCCCTTTAAGCCTAACAGTACTGTACATTAAGTCATGCTGATCTTATAGTTTCATAGTTTCATAGCTGGTAGGGTTGGAAGGGACCTGAGGAGATCATCTAGTCCAACCCCCTGCCGTGGCAGGAAAGAGAGGAAACGACCCCGGCCAGATGTTCGTCCAGCCTTTTTTTAAAGACCCCCAGGGTATGGTAGGAGCCAGCACCACTTCGCTTGGAAGTTGGTTCCAGGTCCTAGCTGCCCTGACAGTGAAATAGCGCCTCCTACTGTCTAGCCTGAAACTACCCTCCGCTAGCTTGTGTCCGTTGTTTCTTGTAACTCCCGGGATTGCTCAGGGGAATAGGGACTCTCCCAATGCCTGCTGGTTCCCCTTGACTAGTTTGTAGACTGCCACTAGATCCCCTCTCAGCCTTCTCTTTTGGAGGCTGAACAGGTTCAGGTCCCTCAACCTCTCCCCGTAGGGCCTGCCCTGCTGACCCCTGATCATGCAGGAGAGGATCCTCCTTTGGACCCTCTCCATATTGTCCACATCCCTCCTGAAGTGCGGCACCCAGAACTGGACGCAGTACTCCAGCTGCGGCCTGACCAGTGTCGCATAGAGGGGGAGGATCACCTCCTTGGACCTGCTTGAAATGCATCTGTGGATGGACGACAAGGTATGGTTGGCCTTCCTGACCGCGTCAGTACTTTGTCGGCCCATGTTCATTGTGGCATCAATGATGACTCCAGATCCTTTTCTGTCTCGACACTGGCAAGAAGGGAGTTCCCCAGCCTGTAGGTGTGCTGCTTATCTTCAAGTTCATCCTTTGTTAGAGTCAACCTTTTGCTGACACAACTTTTGGGGATAATTCCCCATTGGGAGCCAAGCAGAAGCTGTGGTCCCTTTTTCTCCTGAAAGGCCCAATCATTTAACTTCAGAATGGAATAATTTTGAATGTGTGGCTTTTCCCATAAAGTTAGAAATGCAATTCTCAACCAGTGCTCTGTGAGAAAGGTCAGACCCCAAGGTGTCTTGAAGGACTTGTCCCACTATGTTGGCTACACCCCACTTATTGAGGAAGGACTGGACACCTAGAGTGTAAGGGAAAGGTGCCAGGTTGAGAAGAGGAGGAAGAGGCAGTGCTGAGAAAGACTGATGGAGGCTCCAGCCAGGAGGGAGAGAACAAGAGAAGCCTGGTCTGATGGTTTCCCCTGAACTGCTCACGAATGTGACAGTCCCTATAAAATGAAGGGAAGTGAAAGTTAGAAGGGTGAGAACAGATGCTGGGCATTTTCTAAGAAGTCGTTGAACTTAACATCCAATAACATGTGTCTATATGGGTTTGAAACCCACTGCTGATAGGAAGCTCCTTCTTACCTCTCTCAGTAAAATGTCTGTGGTCCAATGTCTTGTCTCTGTGGTAGATACACCAGGTGCTTCTCAGTTAGGTAAGAATGTCACAGGATCAGAGAGCAGTTGATCCACCCAGGAGCATATCTAGCAGTAGGTGGACAGGGCAGCAGTGGATCAGGACAGCAAGTGGTATACCAGCCTGGCAGCCCTTGCGGGGCCTGTACCATGGACTGCTGCACATGATGTGAGGTGAGTCCAACCCCAGCTGCAGTGGTCATTGCATGTGCTGCCCCCACAGCAGTAGCAGCTGCCATCAAAGTAGGAAGAGTCTGAAACACAGCACATAAGAGTTCACTTTCCCACGCCATGCTCTCACGCTCTGCTGAGCTTGTACTCTGGCAAATATGCTCATTTCAAGGTTTCACAGCTCTATTCCCAGCCCCACCTTAAACCGTCAGCACAGGGATGTCCTGTGCTCTCCCCTGGGAACACCGTCAGCTCCAACCATTCTTCCCCTCCTCGGCTTGCAACTCCCTTCTCACACCAGTGCCTGGATTTCATTTCTCACAGATACCTGAGCATGGGACACCTGAGCATGAGCTCATGAGTGACATTTTGCATTTATGAGAAGAGACAGCACAAGGAACTTTCTTGTGACAGGAAACCTTCTAAGCAGGGCTCATACTATCCAAACCAACCTCCACTAGTGGGTTTGAAACCCAACCACTTCACCACTCAGTTTAGGAGAGGATCTATTGGCCCTTCGCCCTTCTTGACACTGTGAGTTTTGTTCTTTCCCCTTTGAGTAGCACAAAGGAAGCCATCAGACTCAGCTTGCCCTGTTCTCTCCCTCTTGACCTTTGCCTCCCTCCACCCACCTCAGCACTGCCTCTTCCTACTCCCCTCAACTTTAATCTCTCCCTCACAACCTCTGCCATTGGCTCTTCCCAGGAACCAGGGGAGCAGAAAGTCACCCACCCTGACCATGCCCAGTGCCCCACAAAATAGCTGGTCACTTCTCCCATTACCCCAAGAGCCCAGGGACGGACTCAGACCCAGCCGTGCTGAGAGTTCACACGGGTGGGGAATGGGGAGGATGTGCTGGGGAGAGCCTTGTTGGTAAAGAACTGTTCACACCATGCCCTTTGGGTTATTCTGTTGTTGAGTGTCTCATTCAAGGAGGACACAGAAAACCAAGAATGTGCTGCACCAAACCACCAGACATTTTATTGTCCACCAAAACCAAAACCAAATCAAACCAAAAACAACAAGAAAGGAACTTTTTCATTGAGTAAATCAACATTTTAAAAAGACCTTATTTTTTATTCTTTTTTTTTTTCATCCTAAACTGCCTTGTTTGCACAGCAGCAGTGCACACAGGTGTTAGCCCAGGGCAAATAACATTCGTCTAAGACGGGGGAGACCGTTGGCTCAGGCTGGCGGAAGTCAGTCAAAAGGGAAAACCTGTGCAAGCCTGGGTAGTTCAGTTGGTAGGGTATCATTTTTTTTTTTATCTGAGGGTCCAAGGTTCAGTAAGTCGCTGTTTTTGCAAGGACAACCCCACTTTGCTTCAAACAGCAGTGGATCAGAGCAGTGACCTGGGCTCCCATGTGCCAGAAAGGAGGAGGCTATAGGTGTTGGGATTTGGGTCTATCCCTGTCAGGAACTAAAAAGGCACAGCTGGAACATAAATACTCAACCACTGCTGTTGTAGTGGAAAGCAGCTACCCGTGTACTGCAGCCTGGCCTTCTGGAGCATGACATCCAATGAGCACCAGTACAAGGCATGCAATCACACACCTTTCTCTGGTCGGGGGGTGGAAGGACACCATGGGCTCAGTAGAAGGACACAGGAATGGTGGGACAGCGTTGTTTTTCTTGATATCCAAACTAAATATGTTTTTCCTGCTATCAGGTAGTGAGAATTTTTTTCCTGCTATCCAAATTAAATCTGTCTTGTTGCAGTTTAAAATCAATATTTCTTGTGCTACCTTTAGTGAAAACTTTTTTTTTTTTAAGTAGGATTTTACATATTTGAAGACTGTTCCCATGTCTCCTGTTAGTCTTCTCTTCCCCTTGTGTGGGCATTTTGTCTGGTGAATGGCTGCCAGTGACAGGTCACCACCAAGCTTTAGGTGCTACAGTTGGCACTGGATGACACACAAGGGTTTCCCCAGTTGTGTGCTCTGATGTGCTACAGTACTAACCCCATGACCAGGACAACAGAATCTCTTTGGTTGTCACCTTCAGTCTCCACTTGAACATCTTAGGTGCACCATTAATTACCTCCAGCTCCTCCTGGGAAATGACAGCCATTTCAAGATAGCAATGGGGAAGACAAACCTCCAACCTCAAATGGTATCTTTCCAGCAACAGACTACCTGACTCCTATTCTCACCAAGGCACCAGACCTTGCTCTGGGCCCAGACACCAGCTGTGACCCCTCATCAGCAAAGACCACAGCATCACTGGATCAAACAACACAGACTATAACATAAACTGTTCATTCACCCAGTGTTCCTCAATAGGTTAACTGCTTTCTTTTTCTCCCTTCTACCCACCTTGCCTCCCCCAGTATTGCCCCCTCTTTTTTCTCCCTGCTTCTTGACCCTTTGCATTCTAATCATTGTTTTCTGTTTAGAAGCTCTGCTTCATGCAGTCCCTTCTTAGCATCTGATGAAGTAAACTGCTATGTATGAAAGCTTATGCATCTCTGATATAGTTAGCATATAAGCTGTAAATCTATCCTTTCTTCTGCCAGTCTTCTTAAGCCTGTCTTCAGTAGCGTTTTTTCTTTGAAATAATTGTATTCCTTCAAAATAGTCCACACTTCCCAATGGTTTTGTTCCTCCTAAGGATAAGTTCTGTTTACAAACTCTTCTGTAGCAGCAGGTTATAAATCAATATTGCCAATATTTGTAGAATGGTCAAAAGTGATCATAAAATTATTTAGTCTGATGTACTGCATAATAATAACATAGGACAAAGAATTTTACCTTGACTAAAGCAGGTCTTCCAGGAAGCCATACAATCCTTATCTGAAGGCTTAAGGAGATGGAGAATCCACCATGTGCTTGGTAATTTTCGCCACTGATTAATCACCCCACTCTTAATTGAAACATGGTGATAAAAATAGAACCTGGTGAGATCTCCTTAGGGTCATCCGGTCATTGCTGTCTTTGTGGGTTGATGAAAAGAGAGGTCAAATTTCAGGGAACTCGGCTCTACTACTGCCAGAGTGAAAGGAGGATTCAAAAAGGAGAGTGGAAGGTAAACATCTGTGAGAAGAGGACTACGGTGTGGTTGTCACTTTGATGGATTGGAGCAAGATGGGGCAGGAAGGCAGTTTCTACTCAGTGACAAGGTTGGGTGGGGAAGATATAACTAGGCCCCAGACTGAAAAATTACACAGTTTATCTTCCTGGGGCACAAAGCAATGTTTCTTTTACTTGACAGCCCTAGTGGAAAAAAAAAAACAAGGCACCTCCACCATGTAGAGCCTATAATAACCATTCAATGCAGACTTCATGGAGGCTGCAGAGACCAAGGCAGCTGGTTCCCAGGCAGGACACTAAGTCATGAGAGTTGTATCTCATTCCTTCACAGCGCAGAAACCACCAGCAGAACTAACTATTGTAAATATTACCACAAGCCCTTGGTAAAAATAAGAATTGTTCTAATTACTTCCCCAGGGACCTCCCTGAGACAATGTGGCTCCAGAGGCCTTTTGGAAACGTGTCTTCTCTGTGCATAAAACTCCAGCATAAATCGTCTGTGTCCATTGAATACATCAGAATCTTCAAGAGTGTGTCAGGAAATGCACCTTCCCTTCCACAGGTAAGTCTGGCTGCTCTGGGCTACAGTCATCATCAGCAATCCCTTGCAGTCAAGGATGATTGTTTTCCATGATTGCCTTATCTGTGGCTCCAAAGGTGGCTGACAAGGCCAGTCTGGGATCAACAGGTTCTATTGCAACTCAGGCACATGTTTTCATGTGAGGTGGGTGGTTCTTGTTTCTTAATTCAGTCTGCTCTGGGCTACAGTAGGGAGAAGTCTATTCCACAGGAAGCCATTCACTCTTGACCTCAGGGGTGGATGGAACGAGGATACTGGCCAGCTCTCTTGCTATCCCATGTCTGATTATCATCCCTAGGACTCTCAGGTTCTCACCTGGATTAAATCCCATCTCCACCCAGAAGGTGATTGTGAAGGGAAAACGTTTAGGGATCCCTTCACATGCTTGCCAGAGCTACCAGTCAAATGTCTGGGGTGAGTTTAGCATTACTGACAGGCACCTTGTGATCAAAGAATGCCAAAAGTGACAGCCTAATACCCAGCCCTAAGTGGGACAGCAGGGTTTCTCCCAGTTGCATCACACATTTGTGAACATGGGGCATAGGAAAACACAGATCTCCTCTGTATGAGAGTTCATAGCATAGTATGCTCTCCCTACAGCCCCCACATAGTGCTTTGCTATAGTACCAGTCTGGGGCACCCACCAAGAGAGAAAACAAGTGTCTCCTCCACTGGTTGGCCTTTTCAGGAGTAAAGAATCTAATTCGGACCCTTATCTTCACGAGGTTCTTCCTTTCCTCATGAATTAAGGGTTATATTTTAAATCATGTTTCTAACTCTTAGCTTCCAGCTGTATTGTGTATGCATGGCTTACTGGGCAGCTTTCATATGAATGGCCTTAATGAGCTCTGGTTGCCTGAGATAGTTCAGAACTACACAATCTTCTAGTACCAAAAAATGCCATTTATGTGGCTAGAAAACTACCAAATAGAAATAGAATTCTGTCCATAGTGTTCAGCACAGGGAACCAAGAGTATTGACTCACTGCTCAGCATTCAGGAAAAGAGCAACAAACCTGATTCTGGGGCTGGAGGGACTGATTGTTGAGGAAAGCTGTTAAAAGTTAAATATTCACAGAGCAACTAAGGCTGACAAAAGCCTCCCTAAGAAAAGGCTCCCATTTATTTCAATGTTATCTAGATCAGACCTTATTAAATAGCCTCTGTAACAATTTAATATTGGGGGTAAAATCATAGCCTCATGGTAAAATGGCAAAATTTCCACTGGCTTCAGGGAAGCCAAGATTTCACCATCACTGGCTGGATATTTATAAAGCACTCAGCACCTCATGCCCCATGGAGTTTCTGCAAGCTGGGCCCTTCTGATAACCAAGCCTTAGAGGACATGAGTGGTGAATCTGTGATTTGCCCAAATGACAGAGCAAAGCCTTGACTGAGTTAAAAAGAAAAGCCAGCTGTCCAAGATCTGTGACCTTTGGTTATTCATCTAGACTCTATGAGCACATCCCCACAAGTGTGCACATGCAGTTTGCAGTGTGGCAAACCCATGCGCAACGCTGCACGCGCATGCATTTGCCATTCTGCTAATTAGTAGCGTGGTAGGGTTTTTTCACACCAGTAGATACTGGTGTAAAAAAAACCTGCACCAAAAAAAGCAGCATAGCACATGTGACTGCAGCACGCACCACCCAAAACTAGAGCCTGGCTGGCCAGAGCCATGCTTTGGCTACCAGCCAGGCTCTGTGCACCCAGATCACCACAGCTGCAGCCCCAGGTGGCCCCCAGAACCCCAGGTAAGGCTGCTGGGCCAGCCCAGCTTCTGGATCTAGTCTCCCCTACCACACCTAGGGCAATTTACTATGCATCAAAGTATGCGTACAAGGGGCATGCTCAGGGACAACTAGCAGCAGGGAACCACATGTTGCCACTTGTGGGGATGTACCCTAAGAGCGTATGACTAGATGGAAACTCCAGAACAGATCTTCATGTAGTAGGCCCAGATCCATCATAGTCAGGAGCTAAGAAGACAAACCCTGTAACTTTGAATGTTATGACATTTCAGGGAATAAGTTCCTAGTGTAGATTTTACCATATCACACCTCTTGACTGCTTTATGCTGTATCCAACGGGACAAGAGATGTCACTATCACATTTGATTTTAGAAGTGGCTCATTCATTAATATATTTCTGCCTCCCTGTGCCATTAGACAACTGCTATGGAGTCCTGGGAATGGGGAGGCAACGTCACCCTGATGACAGAGTTTGTCCTGGTGGGTTTCACAATAGTGCCACGCCTGCGAGTCACCTTCTTCGTGCTCTTTCTCTTCTCCTACATCCTGACGCTGATGGGGAACGTCAGTCTCATGACCTTGATCTTCCTGGAATCTCGCCTGCACACGCCTATGTACTTCTTCGTGGGCAACCTCTCCTTGCTGGACATGTGGTATTCCACAGTCTATATCCCCCGGATCCTGACTGACTGCATGTCCAAGAGCAATGTCATCTCCTATGCTGGCTGTGCTGCCCAGTTCTTCTTCTCTACTTGCCTCTGTTTCACTGAGTGTTACCTGCTGGCTGCCATGGCCTATGACCGTTATGCAGCCATCTGCAACCCACTGCTCTATTCCTTGACAATGACCAGGAAATTCTGTATCCAGCTAGTGGCTGGCTCCTATGTCACTGGTTTTGCCAGTGACATTATACACACAGGCAACACTTTCTGCTTGCATTTTTGTGGGGACAACAGAATTAATCATTTCTTCTGTGATGTACCGCCACTGATGAAGATGGCCTGTGAAAACACCCAGGGCTATCAGCTCATCTTATCTGCTGCTGTTGGCTCTAATGTGGTGGCCACCACTACCCTCATCCTGGGTTCCTACACAGGGATTGTTGTGGCCATCTTGCATATCCGCTCAGCCAGCAGCAGACACAAGGCCTTCTCTACCTGCTCTGCCCATCTGATCTCTGTGTCCCTCTTCTATGGCTCCCTCCTCTTCATGTACTTGCAGCCCAGCTCCCTGCACACCCCAGATCGGGACAAGGTGACTGCCTTGTTCTGTACAGTGGTCAATCCATTAGTTAACCTCATGATCTACAGCCTGCGCAACAAAGATGTGAAAGATGCATTCAGAACAGCCGTCAGGAGAACCATCGCACCTGGATAATCGGTAATGCCAGCTGGCTGACTACACAGGAAAGAGAGGGGAGACTCTCTTGCCAACTCTGTATGTTTAATCACAACTCCTGATATTTGGTGGTGGTTACTGCCTTTAGCTGTTTCATAAAAACATCTGACAAGTGGGTGAGTGGATTTCTCCTTTCTTGATATGAAAGGAAAAATCGCATCATTACTTCCAGTGACAGAGAAGGGACACAGAGGGATGATAGGGCAAGAGGAAGAAAAGGGCAGGGATATAGGGATAGGGGCTAGGAGATGGAGGGGATAGGAGTGTGGCACCCCTGCCCTGGGGGTAGTGTGATAGTGGGCATGAGGGGAACCCCAGCCAAACAGTCAGGGGGAAATATACTTTGCATGTGAGTTAGAAACTGGGTTTTAGCCCTTCAGAGCTCATGCACTCAATAAAGAACAATTCAGAGGAGTTAATATGTGTGTTAAACACATAGGGATGGCAACTCAGTGCTCTCAAGAGCACTCCCTCCACACCTTAGCACTGAGGTAAGTAGTTTGCTCACTTTTCCTGGTGGCAGGCTAGTCTGCTGCAGCTCATTATAACAAAAGGCCCCTGTACCACATCCTAAAGACCCTGTTCTATGGACACCCTCCAGCTTCCCATTTCCTTTGGGTTTAATACTCAGTCAAATCACACTGAGCCCATCCCAGAGGTAATCCTTTATCTTAGAGGTGCCTTGGGCTGCCACAGCTTCTCAGGGTGCTGCCTGATAGAGAGCTATGATGGGGAGCTGTGGTGACTGTCCTCCTGAGCTCCCCCTTCAGAGACTACAAGCTCTGAGCTGGCCTGTGCTCTGCAGCTGCAGCCTCTGCCAGGAGCAGCCTGATGTTATGCTGCACTCTGCTTCTCACCCAGCCTCCTGCTGCCGCTGCTACATCCCCAGCAAGGGAGGGAATGAGTTCAGAGTGACCCAAAAAGCACCCCAGCAGGGGTGGGGGAGGACAGGCAGGAAGTGGCCGATCTCCAGGTAGCTTGTACTGGTGTGAGGCTGGGGCCATTGCCTCTGGTCAGGTTGGGGAGGGTAAGCTGTTACAGGTGCCTGATGTCTTGCTGTCATAGTACAGATGTACTCCTCCATGGATGTAGTCCTCCACCCTGTCCAAGAAGGACTTCCATGACTCCACAGTGGTAGCCATGGTGGGCCAGAGGGATGCTTGGGTCTGGAGAGCCAATTCCTGGACCCTCTCCGAGCCCCTCATTTGTCCCTGTACCAGCTCCAGGAACTGGTGGTCCTGAACTACAACAGAAGTCAGTTTAAGAGTTCTCAACAGCTCTTCTGAGGAGTCCTGCTGGTGCCCATAGGCAGACAGCCACCTCTCCATGGTGGTGTGGGTTGGCATGCAGGTGATTCAACAAGGTCCTCCTGAATTTGATCACAATGGTCTTGCCCATGTTTTCAGCTACAGGACACCCTCTGGGGAGGACTGTCCCTTCATAACCTTGGGGCAGTATCTATGCTGGCACCTCCCAAGTTTTCTTGCTTCAGGGCAAATTCAGGAGTGAACAAAAGCAGAAATGGCCTTGCGAATGTTTCCAAAGTTTGCAGATAATGTGTGTGTGAGAATCCTGTATTCCACTCAAACACTGACAGGTGCACAGAGTGTAGTCTATTGACAGCAGAACAGACCTTGAAATTGCTGCAAACTTCTAAGATAGCATGAGGGGAAACATGGCTCATCTTGCTCTGCTCCATGGGGCAATGAGAATTGAACAGAACATCATCATGGTAAGTGCCCACTTGGCTACCTACTATCAGCTACCTGCTGTCCCCCCACCCCTCTTTCTTCCCATATGTTCCCATAGGCAGGTGGGGATCACTGGGATAAGAAGTCCCCTGCCAATAAATTGTCTGTCCTAAGTTCTTTGAGCTTGCAGGTGGCAACCCTGCAAGGTATGCCCTGCTGCTTCTGTAAGCTCTCATGCCAGTGCATCCCCTGTAGCCATGAAAAAGAGCTGCTTCTTATGATGGCTCTCTGCTAAGGCTGGCAATTCCATAAAATGTGCATGAGGCTCTGGAAAACTGCCTACATCTGCATTACAGCTTTGTAGCTCTGCCACAGTTCCTAGCAGAAAAAGTAGCTATTGATCACACCCTGTACCAGGATCACCCTCCCCTCTCCCATGAAACAAACATCCCAGACCCCTCCAGGAAGTTCTCACCTGAAGAATGATTACCCACCAGGCATGCAGTCGCCACAATCCCAAATTGTGAGGGGCACCCAAAATCCCAAAGGGCAACACCTTTGACCATCACCCAGAATGGCTGTGCCCTGCATCCCCCTGGTGAGGGTGGTGGCAACCTGACACCCAAAATGAGAACAGCATTCACTGTTGCCAGGCCTTTCTTTACCTGGGACCCACAAAGGAGCGTGCAAACCTGCCACAGGCCACACCAACAGTGTCTTTGGGGGGTAGAAATGTGGGACTTCAGATGCACATAAGTAAAAGCCTTCTATTTTGCATTTTTGTATGTTTATGGCTCAAAAAAGTGTCCTGGGGGTTGGGCCCCCACTGTGTAGGTGGGAACTCTGTCAAGCCCACCCTTAGGTGTTGGCATGTGGAATTCAGCCAGCAGTAACCAGGGGTTATGGCCCCCTGAAACCAACTGATGCACCCCTGTGTGTGCAGGATATGCATAGAAGGAGGGGCAAGGGTAGGCTGAAAGCACTTGTTGCTACGTGGGCCAGCCCTGGTGGGAACAGGGGTGAGAAGGGTTGGAATGGGTGGATCAAGTTTCCACTCTGCACTTTATATGAATTAATTAACCTTCAAATAAACCATTGAGCACCCTATCTGTCCAATCGAACTGTAACTGGGCCATTGACCCATACACAACTGTTATGGCCCAAGAGTGGGTGTGCTACAAATTCTCACTTCCTCTGCATGATACAGAACACAACGCCCCCATCCTCCTGGCAAACTTCAAGGGCAGTGAAAATTTTCACTGACTGCAACCCCCATGCCTAGCCACTTCAGCACACCCAGAGGCATTCCTAAGCCATGAGACACCCCAGAGTCCCAAGTCAACCCCAAGGCATGACCCACCCCCATACTCCCAGTCCCCTGAACATACCACCAGTTACCCTTTCCCCTTGAACTCCTGAAACTTACCAGCGCTTTGTGCTTTGTTCATAGATTCATAGATTCATAGAAGTTAGGGTCGGAAGGGACCTCAATAGATCATCGAGTCTGACCCCCTGCATAGGCAGGGAAGAGTGCTGGGTCTAGATGACCCCAGCTAGATGCATATCCGACCTCCTCTTGAAGACCCCCAGGGTAGGGGAGAGCACCACCTCCCTTGGGAGCCCATTCCAGACCTTGGCCACGCTAACTGTGAAGAAGTTCTTCCTAATGTCCAGTCTAAATCTGCTGTCTGCTAGCTTGTGGCCATTATTTCTTGTAACCCCCGGGGGCGCCTTGGTGAATAAAACCCCCCCAATTCCCTTCTGTGCCCCCGTGATGAACTTATAGCCAGCCACAAGGTTGCCTCTCAACCTTCTCTTGCGGAGGCTGAAAAGGTCCAGGTTCTTTAGTCTCTCCTCGTAGGGCTTGGTCTGCAGGCCCTTAACCATACGAGTGGCCCTTCTCTGGACCAGAGTTATCCTTCTCTCCAGGTTATCTGCATCCCTCTTGAAGTGCGGTGCCCAGAATTGCACACAGTACTCCAACTGCGGTCTGACCAGCGCCCGATAGAGGGGAAGTATCACCTCTATTCGTCATGCATCTGCTGATGCACGATAAAGTGCCATTAGCTTTTCTGATGGCTTCGTCACACTGCCGACTCATGTTCATCTTGGAGTCCACTAGGACTCCAA